AAATTGTGAGTAATGCCATGGAAAGAGGGGAAAGGGGAAATCTATTGAAAAGACTACTTTTTATTTTTAAAAACGACAGAAAACTGAGAAGGTCCATTTAGAATAGTGTAAATTTTGTTTCAATACTTCTGACTGGAACAAAAAAAATAATAAAAAACTTTTGACAGCATAAAAATGTTTTGCTGCACTTTGTGGATCTAAAAATTGTTCTATCTCAGCTTGCTTGGATATTCAAATGCCTGTCCTCTTACCACTCCTTCGTGCCCAGGACTTGACTGTTTGATGTTTCGCAGCCTCATGCTCAGTTACGGACCAGACTCTGAACCACCTCTCCTGAGGTCTTCTCAGCACAGGTCTAAATGCAATTTTGGGCCCTTCACTACAAGACAGACATTGAGGTGCTGGAGCATGTCCAGAGAAGGGTAACAAAGCTGGTGAAGGGTCTGGAGAACAGGTCTTATGAGGAGAGGCTGAGGGAACTGGGGTTGTTTAGCCTGGAGAAGAGGAGGCTGAGGGGAGACGTTATTGCTCTCTACAACTGCCTGAAAGGAGGTGCTAGTGAGGTGGGGGTCGGTCTCTTCTCCAAAGTAACTAGTGACAGGACAAGAGGCCTCAAGTTGTGACAGGGGAGGTTTAGACTGGACATTAGGAAAAATTTCTTTACTGAAAGAGTGGTAAAACACTGGAACAGGCTGCCCAGGGAAGTGGTGGAGTCACCATCCCTGGAGGAGTTCAAAAAACGTATCGATGTATCACTTGTAGACATGGTTTAGTGGGCATGGTGGTATTAGGTCAACAGTTGGACTTGATGGTCTTACAGGTCTATTCCAACCTGATGATTCTACCATTCCATGATTCTCCAATAGCAAAACAGCTTAACTAGGTATCCCAGTTTACGTAGGAGAGCAATGACACCCAAACATTTTGATTTGACGTCTGCAAGAAGGGGACTTGCTTTTTCAGAAGAAAACAGAAAAAGTCTGTTTTTCCCCAAATGCCTAGTTTTCTACCAAAAAACTATCAGCTATCATTTAAAAGCAAGGCAGGATGCAGAAGGTAGAAATTTTATGTATAAAATAGCTAATAACCAGGCCATAAACATGCAGAGTTGCACAGACAACTGAATTAATTGCCTGCTATATTCCAATCAGCCCAATGGCCACAGCTTTACTGGGAAATAAACACTCTTCAGAAAAAGCACAGTGCTTTTCCTACAGTGACTCCTGCTGTACCCGAGTGGCACTCTGCACCAATTTCCACACAATTTTTATTTCTTGCACCTTTCTTTGAGTTTCATCCTCTTCCATCCGAAACCAGTGGGGATGTTTCCACTGGTGACCTGACCTGACAGATCCGGTGGGACCAGGGTGTGGGATCTTGCCCCACGTGAATGTTGTTTAGATGTGGTGAGAGGAGTTGCCATGTCTCCCTCCACCTGCACTCCATTCCAGCCACATGTATTCATCCAGCCAGGTGAGAATTCAGCTTGCGCTGCATGACCTATGGTTTTCCTGATGGTGAAGTACATTTTTTGTTATGGACAGGGCTTTACACTCTACCATGTTTCAACCCAGAAGGGA